TGGAGGGATGGAGAATCTCTCCTGTGAGGAAAGGCTGAGAGAATTGTGCTTGTTCAGCCTGGAAAAGAGGGTTTCCCATGACCTAGTTGTAGTCTTCCAGTACCTGAGAGGAGCCTGTAGGAAGGATGGACAGAGACCATTTACATGGACATGTAGTGACAGCACAGGGACAGTAGTTTTAAACTGAAAGAGAGTAAGTTTAGTTTAGATATTAGGAAGAAATTCCTTACTGTGAGGATGGTGGAAGAAATGAAGAAATTCCTTACTGTGAGGATGGTGAGGCACAGGAACAGGTTGCCCAAAGAAGCTATGGATGCCTAATCCATGGGAGAGCTCAAGGCCAGTTTGGATGGGACTCTGAGCAACGTGGTCTAGTGAAAGGGTTTTTTCTAGTTCAATCACTCTGCCCATAGCAGAGTGATTGAACTAGATTGATCTTTAAGGCTCATTCCAACCCAAGTCAGTCTATGGAACTAAAGATACATCACTAAACATATGTAATGATATCTTTAAAGACAGACAGGCAAAACCCTCCAGCAACAATCAGTCAGCACTGCTGCAGTGAGTTAGAACTATGGGCTTCAGTACTTTTACAAGTATAAGTTCTTTTGCAGAATCTGAAAATTTTTGCTTCCCTTCTTGCATAGTAATTGTTGCTGGCACGTATTTGTTTATATGCTGACCTTTGAAAATCAGATTCACATAATGCCAAGTGATAAGCACAAGGACTATTGAACAATGTAATCTCACAAAAATGATGCTTTTTACCAAGATATCTAGTAAGCAGCCAGAAAAGTCTTTCTAAAACTTTAGGCAAATGAAATAATAGACACATCTAGATATTTCAATGAATTAAAATTAGTATTTAAAGAATTGTACCATGATTTTTTTTGTTTTTTTTTTTTTTGTTAATATCCTATTCTACGCTGAGCAGAAGAAAAATACAAATTCTAAACTATAGAATTATAGAAGAATATAGAATTCTAAACTGAATTATAGAAGAGTAAGAGAGGCTTATCATACATGGGGTGAAGAGCCTTGCTGTACCTACAGCTCTGTGCAGGAAGGGCAGATATATAGATAAGAGTGAGAGAAAACTCAAGTATGAGGAGAGAGATTGGTTTCTCAAAGCCATTGTAAGTTTTTAATGTGCATTTGTGTTTGAAAGACAAAATGCTGACCTCTCCTTAAGAATGTAAATCCCATTGGAGAATGAGACCTGCATGCTGCAGCAAGAGTGGCTGCTGGATGTGTGTGCAATGGGTGTTTGCCAGAGTGCTTCAGTGCTTTCCTTTGTACTGATCCCAGGAATGGGTCTTCTCCTTGCACTCTTTCTTGTACTCGACATTTGTGAGAAAAAGGTGTTTAATAGAAACCCACAGTTCTGCTTGCCTTGTATTTCTTTATCACTGACAGTTTTGGAAAGTTACTAATGCATTATTTATCTGAGGTTTTCTATTCCTTTTGGTTGTCACTTCTATAACCATATGCCAGAGAAGGTGAGAGAGCTAAAGCATATGAAGCAGCCTTGTCAGGTGATTTTCTTAAACAGTGAGAGGTAATTTATTTTGTAGCTTTTAGGTTATGTTCCTGCCTAGCACCAGTGCTGATACTCATCACCAAATGTGTGCCCTGCAGGGTCACTGATGTTTTAACTGTTCCTTCTCCATCTTATCTCCTGCAGAATTCTTGGCTATGCAGCTAAAATCTTCTGATTTTACAGGATATTTTGAGTGTTTTTTCCATTATATGCCTTTTTTATTTCTTTTACTTTCCACTTATTGAAATGTGAATCCATTCCCATAGTAGATGCCAATGTGTTTTTCTTCCTCTTTTTATTCATGCTGGCTGTTGTCCCATTTCAGCTGAATATCTAAAGCACATTTCCCCTTTGAAAAGCAACATGAAGGTCATTCTTTAATTCAGGCAGTGAGAGTTAGTTACTGTATGAGTAGCATTTTTTGTTCCATCTAAATTCCTGGAAAGTATCACACCCTGGGGAGGGAGAGCGAACTCCCCAGAATTATGAACTTGATTAAGGGAAAGCACTTATTGACAAGGTCTCCTTGTTTGAGCCTCACAGAATGGCACATGTGCATGCTTGATAAATCTGCTTCCCAGCTCCCCAGCAGAGAAATCTTTGCTTGAAGCTAAATAGCTCCTGAGTTCTTGGAATTCAAAACTATGTTTCTAAAACTGAAACAGATTATTTTTGCATGTATTCATTATATTTTTTTGTAAAGGTAGAGAAAGGGAAACTATTGTTTCTCTAGCATTTTCAAACCTATTCTGAATATTTAAAAAGTGAAGTCTGTGGAAGCATGTCACTTTGTTGCCTCTCTTGTTGGGCTGATTTACTTCTGTTTGTTTATTGAAATATGTATCATTCATTTATGCAACTATTAGTTTGAAGCTAGTAAAGCTGTCTTGAATAGGTTTTATATTCACACAGACTGTGACTTTTATTGCTCTGTGGTTTATGTGTTTTCTCTGAGCTCATGGCTGCATTGCATTTATGAGAGAAAATAATTATTAAGCAGCAATTAATACAACTGAATGCCTTTCTTGATTTTCCCTTAAATATGAGCAGAGTTAATTTTTCAATGGCTAGGGTTTTTTGTAGCCCCAGTTAAGTCATACCAAGTTTCTATAAAAGGCAATTTACAGGGAGTAAGGATCAGCATTTCACTGTTAATATAACAGTGTACTGATATGTTAATTCTCTGACTGTGTTGGGTGTAAGTCAGTAGTAACTTGCTAGAAAAGGCTGAGTAGACTCAGCTGGCCTCTGCCCTCAACTTGTAGGTATTACTGTAATTTATGTTAAACATGATGAAGGAAACAAACTCATAATAGTTGTATTTCACTCTCAGGGGTTTTTTTTTGGTTTTTTTTTTCATTTTTTCTTCCTGGGAAAATCAGAAAATGTATTTCTAATTTGTGGATTGTGAACTTAGTTTTCATTTTTTATTCTCAGAGAAAAAGGTAGTAAATAAATTTCCACCCATTTTCTCTCTACTTGAAACCCAAAACCTTTTCTTATTGTTTACCTGATATATTAAGAGAAAGAAAAAATTGACATGAGTTCTGTCAGCAGTACTTAAGCATGTCTGTCTTCATCAGGTATAAAATGCTTTATCTATTTTTAATCTTCCTTACCTGAGAACATTAGAAAAAACTTCATCTGAACCAGTGAAGTTTAATTTTGTCTGCTCATTCTTCAATGTTGAGTGTTTAAAATGTCTAGTCAACACTGCAAACGATGATTAATTTTGGGTGCATATTGCCCTTAAGTATTTGGGAGAGTTCTGTCACTGGCACAAAAGTGTTAAACCATTAATTTACTGTTGCAAAAAGCAGGAAACAGGTAGAAACAGAAAGGAAAAAAAAATCATTGACATAATGCATCATTGTCAGTCTGTAAATGTCATCAGATATTTTCAAATTATTAATCTGAAATGTGATGAAGGCATAAAAGCTGTAGTTCTGACAAAAAAAATTGATTGTTAGGAGACACTGAGGACATAATGTGAAATTGGCATTGTGTTCTGGTCTAGCAACTTTCAGGCAGTAGGATGTTGGACACATTGTCCTTTGGGGACATTGTCTAATTTAATCCGTCAGTATCATATATATACATACATACATATATATATATGTATGTATGTGTTTGTCTAAATTACATTCATGTGAAAGATTACAGGGTTGATCCAGATAAAAAAAAATCATTTAGGTCTAAAAATAAGAGAATAGGAAGACAGTGCTCACACTGAACATTTCACTTCAGAGCTGAAACTCTTACAAGTGTTGCAGGCAACAGAACATAAAGCTGTACATACAGTGGCATGCTGGAAAAAACTAGAATTCTTTGGTGAACTACATATTTGCACCCATTTCTACTGGGCAGATTAAAACAAAGAAACTCAAAATATTATTTTATCCTGAAACATGCTTCAGTTTTTCAGTAATGTAAAGAACTTTAAGAACTGTTGAAGGTAAAGCATTATTAAATACATATTCAATAAATTTATTTATAGTTTGTAATTTTTTAACTTAGTGACAAATATGGAAGAGAAATAAAAAATAATTTCTTCCAGAACAGAAAATTTTTACTCAAATTTCATTTTCTATATATTTATTTAAATAATCACATGAACTAGAAGCAGAAGAATGAAGTCGCAAATTAAGGTTATTTGTTCCAATCTAACCACAGCTGGTTGCTAATTTAATCACTTCACATTATTGTTGTATCCTGGTTCTTATTTTAAACCTCTTCAGACTGGTGACCGTGCTTTCTTTTGGTTATAGACTGCCTTGCTTATCTTCTTTCTGATACTGTTCTTCGACAATTATTCTTTCAGAAGCAATGCTGACACAAGCAATCCCATACCCTTCATTCCTCTCATCCCCTCCTATCTTGCCACACCACATTTCCTCTTGGTTTATGGGGCCTTGAAATGGTCTAGGCTCAGCTGGAGAGCTACTCTCAGTTAAAAATAACCCAGGCACATAAAAAAGTGTTGAGTTTTAATGTCATTTTCTTGACTCACAGCCTCTCAAGCAGTTCAGCCACCAAATTTGGGGGACTGATCTGGATACTGTGATGTATTTGCAGGGCTGAAAGAATTCAACAACAACAACAAAAAATTAAAAAAGTCCCAAACACTTGAGTGTCTTCCTTAGATTTTTAAATTCTTTTCCCAATCACAGCTATTTCACACTGCCAGTGGGTTTCATGATTTTGCAGCTCCTTTACCTGCAACTGCTCTTTCAGTCAGTAGGAGATCATGGTGGTTTATTGGATATTGCTCACTGACTTAAATTATCCATGTATTGACTGATAATTATAGGAGCAGACTTTGTGGTAATGATAGATAGGTAAACACTCAAAATTACGTACTAAAGTCTATTGAAATGCTTTTAAAAGCCCAGACCACAAAATCATATCTGTTCTTTATTGATGAATAAAACAGCAGAATTTTATCCTTTTCTTTTTCCAGGTGTAGAGCTGAATTCCTTACGCCAAATGAAGATTCAGAGAGCTATGACCATGCTTACAGATGTCCGACAGCTCATCTCAAGTGGAGGGAGTGTGAATCAGAAGAATGATGAAGGAGTTACCCTGGTGAGTGGCAGCATGGAATCATCACCCTGGGATTATGCGTGTGCTGCAACAAATTCAGCATGTTTGCAAGGCAGTTCTCTTAAGAGAGTTTTGGTTCTACCTGGTGTTTTGAAAATAGATGTGTGTTAATTCCATGCATAATATGAATTTTAAAATAAGGTAGTGCAACATCTCAATGACAACTTTTTTTCTCCCAGCCAACAAATATGCAACATTAAATTTAATAGCAAAGCTATTAGCACCTTAGTTTAAAGCTGCAGGAGATAGATGTGGTGTCTGACATTCTGTGTGAGAGAGGGGCTGAAACTTCACTCAGTGATCCCTGGTTTTGGCTTGTATCTTCTGACTGAGCCCTACTAATACACTGCTTCCTGTAGCAATCCAATCTTGATTCAGTGTACTAAAGCATTCACCATATACATGGAAAAGTACTCCTACTCACAAATTTGCATGTTATTTATGGTCACTGGATTTTACTATACTTTCTTCTTCAAATAGATCTTCTATCCATTTGTTTTGTCAGTATTTCAATTTCTTCAGCTGTCAAATAATTCTAATTTCATGTGTACTTCCATAGCATGTATGTGGAATGTTCCCTTTGCATATGAAATCTTCAACACTATTATCAATCAATCAATAAATAGTAAATCAGCAGCATTAATATATTGAAAGCATTTTTAAGAGTTCCTTGTTTTTTTTCTGCAAATAGTGTACAACTATAATTAGAGCAATAGCAATTATTACTATCATTTCTGCATTTGCATTGAATTACATTGCCCAATACTGAATTAATATACTAAATCATTGTATATTTTAATATCTGTGGAATGTTTAAGCTATAACTGAAAAAGTGATCAGCCTCATCCCTGGATTGAATCCAGCCACAGGCTTTCTCTAGGAACAGAACACTGTGACTTCTGGGGTGACAACCCCAAGGCAGTTAATTTAAAAACAGGACAGCAGGGAAGGGGTGGGAAGAAACAGCACAAGTTTTAGTTTATTTCATAAAAGCATTAATTTACCCTCCAGTTTCCTGATATTTTTATCTAAGCTGCTAAATCACATAGCTATTGTACTTCTATTGCTATTTTAGTCAGAATTGTTGAGTTAAACTGAGTTATGAACTTAAATAAATACAACTGTATAAAAACTTTCCTGTAGTTGGCTGGAATAGTTGAAATACATTTCTGAAAGATGTTTAACAGAACTGCAAATACTAGGAGAAGAACATTGTGGGTACTTTGGGATTTTTGCTGTTTGCTTAGTAGAATGTTGACAAAAGGGATACTTTTTCCATAGAAGTTTTTATGCTGAAATCTGATTTTTTCAGGAAATAGACACAAAGTAGGTAACTTCACTTTTCTTTGAGATTTCTATTATGTGACACTATTGTTTGACAAATTGGTGGATAATCCAGATTTTTTTTAACTATTATCTCTTTATTCATGAGTGATGAGTCAGCCAGTCTGTGAATGTTATATGGATATCAGAGGGTTCTGGAAATAAGGTTTTGTTCCTCTACATCTATCTGTACAAAAAAGACAAATCTATTTGGTTTAAGTCTCAAATCAAATTTTTTTTAAGTCTTAAATCTCAAATTTCTCTTGACAGAATACATATATGTGTAAGAGGAATCAAGCAAGAAGTTGTTTTAAATATATAAATATACACATTCTCCTTGACTCATAACAACTACATTTGTGCACATGCACTACCAACAGACACTGAAATTTTCTACTGTATTCTCTTCTAATAGTTTTTCTCTGAAAGATTTCAGCCATAAAATATTTCCTAGGAGCTCTTACACTGCTTGAAAATAGCACTTGTCAAGTTGATGTCTGGATAGAAGCTGTAGTTCCTTCTGTTAAAACACACCCTCCCTCCACCATGAAGCTGTGTTAAATTACAGGAAAGATTTGAGGGTTTTGTACATTGGAAATCATAGCATGCAGAATCAAAGTTCTGTCCCCAGGGGAGTTTTGCACCCTTTCCAGGGGAAGATTTTGAATGACTGTATTCTTTCCCTCTGCATGAATCATGTTCATAGTGAAAACTTTATGTATGCTCTGTGTCTGCAGCTGAACCAGAAATAGCAGGTAAGGGAAATTATATCCCAAACTCTCATTTTAGTGTCTCCTATTCTTACAGTGACTTTGGAATACACAGTTGTAACAGGTTTATTGCAAGAACTTTTTTATTGCCATTATCGATCTATTTCAATCACCAGAAAAAGAATATCTTCTGCTAACAGTGCTTTGAGGAGAAAAAGTCACGCAGGGGGCTGTGGGGTTTGGGGATACAGGGACCAACTCTAATCTGACTTCTCAATTTCTGCCATATTCCTATGCCCTATTCTTACTGACCAGTGTGAGTATTAAGTTCTTCTGACTGGGGATGACCAGTTCTATTTTGCCAAATTCCAAATTCAGGCCTTGTCCCCCGCATTCCTAGAACTGAAGAGAATGTTTGAAATTACAACAGAGGACTGTGAGAAAGTAAAGACAACTAAACTGTAGCCTGGGTCAATCTCATCACATGAAATGTACGCCTCAACAGTTATTCACCACATATAAAAAACAATTGTCACCAAAACCTGCAAATTACATGTTTTCCCTGATATAGGATTCCTTATTGTATTTTCTTCTTCTACTTGATTATTATAAGAGAAAATAATCTTATTGCCCTATTATCTTTCCCTTTTTCTCTGTTCACAAGACCTGTTTGCTATTATATTGTTTTTATATTTATTTTGCACACTTCCTATTTATTTTAAATGAAACCCCACATGGCTGCTGGCATTTTTTATATTAAAAAATCTCATCCTATAAATAGCATATGGTGGAATTGATTGCTGATATGAATGCCAAACGCATACAGAGTCTTAAATAATTATACACTGCAAAATAGAATGCCCAGCTCCTCAAATCAGCCATTTATAAAGATTTTTTAAAATTTCTTTTCTCCCTTTCTTGCCATTACAGTTTTCACACTTTATCATTCTTACAGTATTTGCTACTCAGAGTGATAACCCCTGATCAAACACAGCCGCCTTTGAAGTTATCCCTGTTTTAGCAGCAAGTTGTACTACTTGACCTCCTGAGGTGCCTGCTGACCTAAGTTTTGGTCATTCTGTTACTGCACTTTCCACCCTCTTTCTGTTTCACTTTGACTCTTAAATGAAGTTCAGAGATACAGAAATTCAACTAAAATTGTTTAAACAATTACAAAAAAAAAAATTAAATATCTAGGTAAGCAATGCAAGTATAGAAAATAAAATCTTTGTGGTTTAAGCCTTGGAAAGTATTTTTTGTCTAATTTTGTGCTGCAATGTCAATGTGCTTGGTTTGATTATGTGCTAATGAATTCATCCTGGAGTAGTGTCAGCTTAAATCTGGGATACTTGAACTGCTACAAAACAAAGTTCTAGGCTTGAAGAGTGGTCAAGCTGTGTTGAAATCTCATTCCACCTTGGCTCATGAAGGCTTTGAATGTGTTTGAAATCATGTTTGCTTGAAGTTATATGAAAATGATAGACTAGATTGGTTAGTAGCTCACAAAAAGCTAGAATTATTTTTTTCAGGTGCATCTTGTTTATAAATGCTAAAAAAGATTCTGCAGTGGTTTTCTAGCCTGTAGTAATCACATGTACATTTTGTGTTTGCTGTAACTGTGATTAGTAAAGATATGAAGTAGTACACCATGGATGAGTTCTTTAAACTGTTACTATATGCAAAATTTACCTTTTATATTGCAGCTGCATGTAGCCTGTGCTAACGGATACAAGAATGTTGCATCTCTGATACTGGATCATGGGGCTGATCTCAATGCAGGGGATAATCAGTACTGGACACCCCTACATTTGGCTGCAAAGTATGGACAGGTAAAGCATGATTTTTCACCTGCTTCTCTTTCCTTTGTGGTAGACTTCTGTAGCAATAGCAAATGCTTTCAAGTCTGGGAGACTATTCTTACTTTAATACAAAAAACTTCCTCATTCATGTAGTATAAATTAGCATCTGAAATATCAGAGACCATTTGCTAATGAAGCTTGTAAAGCTATTTAGTCAAAACAGCTCAATCTACCACCAGCAACAATTTGTCTGCAGCAAAAACTAGGTTTGCACTGACATTTGAAAGGAAGACAAAATAAATACTTTGTCTGATATTTTTTACAGTCTAATATCAAAGCTTATTTAGATTTTTGCTGTGTGTATTTCTGTGAATAAATGTCCAGGATTCATCTAGGAGCTGTGTTCAAAGCTTTCCAGTCACTGAATGGTGGAAGGGTGTCCTGGGATTGGGATTTAGAGGCCATACCTAAACATGACTTGTCCCTCTTAATACTTCTTCAGTTTTCAGTTTTCTTACCTTTTCAGTTCTCCTTCATCCTCACACTCTCCAGACATGTTCAGTGAGTCTTTGTTACAGTTTGACCATTTTAGGAGAGTTCTCCACAGCTCTCCACCCACCTCAGGGCTCACAAATCACCACTTACCCATAGGTATCTTCTGAAAACCTCTGTCACAATCTTGGCTTGGACTTCAGAAAATAAATAATATGCTTTATAACAAGAAAAAAGTAAAAATGGGGCAAAAGTTATAGTAAAATAGTAAAAGTTGGTGTATTTATTTAGGTAAATTAGTTCTGCTGGGTAATAGATTTCTCCTATTGAGATACCTTGTGCCTGCTCTTTTATAGAGTGTCAAAGGTCTGCATATTTTCATAGCAGATTAAGTTATTGGTTTATGTATATATATCTGTATCTATTAAAAATACATATATGTGGCCTGAAGTATATCCTCAATAACTTCAGGTAGTTTAAATTTACAGAGAAAAATTTCACACAGATATGCTGAATCAAAATTTTGTCAGCAAGTGAGGTATCAGAGGTCTCTTGAATTTACTGTAGATTTAATTTTCTCATCCTATTTACCCTGTGTTGTTCTGTAATTCTGCTTCAGTTCTACTGCTCTCACTGATCCCTCTGCTCTCACTCTGCCTGTTCAGACTTCAGTAGGGCAGGAAAGCTCTTATTCAGAAATAAGGGGTAGCAGTGATGGAGTCTTGAGCTTCTTATTCTCACATTTTAGGATGGCTCTCAAGTTAGGGCTTTGTACTGCAACAATGCGATTATACTACAGCTGGGCATTTCTTCTATTGTAAAGCTAAACCTGAGTTTAATTGAAGAGGACTTGAAAGAAATCACTTGAAAGGGCTGGGAAAGGACTTACCTTTCCTTACATATGTGTAGCATGCATGTGTTTGCCACACTAACTCTGGATGACTTGAAATACTCTTTCTTGTGAAGACAGGTATTTTTCTTCTAGAAACAGGCTTGTACATGAAAGTTTGTAGTTGAAAGTGGCTAATGGAAAAAAAATGTCTTTCCTTTTGAAGAATTCTAAGAGCTCAGATTGCTATTTTTGAAATTACTCTTTTTGTTGGCACTTTTGTTGGACTGCATCTCCCTTATATCCCAGATGACAATAGTGTTAATCCTTACTATTTCAGGAGTTTTCAGGGAGGAGTCAGGGACCAGCTGCTCTAGTCTCTATACAACCAGTATGGGTACACGCAGACAAAGACTATGAAAGAACATTGTACTCTTCACTAAAATTAGCTAAATACAGGCCAAATATTTTCCCTTTGTAGCGTTAGTAAATAATAAAGTTTAGAAATATCCTATTAGCATTATATATAATTTGCCAATGTTATTGACCAGATAAATACAGCTTTTGTGTGATTCTGTTTGTAAGAAACAAGTAAATAATTTCAATTCCTTTATTAAAGGGATTTATTGCATATCTTCTACTTCTTGTAACTACACTATCAGGGTGTTTTTAAAATTTCCTTTCTTATTATGATCATTTTGAAATATCTTTTAGCCTTGGAATGAATGAACATGCATACCATATTTATAATTCCATTTTGAGTAATTAATTATAGACTAATATGAGCATTGTTCCTATTTTTGGTAAAAGTAGTTTGGCAGAAAGGAAATAACCTTAGACAAGACATGAATTAGATAGTCTCTTTTAAATTAAAGTATATTTATGAGGAAATGGTTATTTTTTAGCTGAAAATTTTTTAATGTTCCCTGGAAAAGCAATTAATATAAATTCTGGACTTGATCCCTTACAGTTTCACACTCTTCTAACACATATTTGTGGCATGTTTTTTTTTAAAAGTCACACTTGAAAAACTTGCTACAGTGATAAATATCTTGTACTGGAAGACTGTCATAAAGTCTGTTTTGTTTTAGTTTGATGTCCTTTTAAGTTCTTGGGAGGATTTCTGGCCTTCCAGAAATGTATTTGAACAGCAAAATAACCTTTACTTGTCTTATGGCTTGTCTAATAAGCAATGATCCTTTAATGAGTGGTCACAGAAATTTCAGAAAACCTGTTGTAAATCATTGTCATTGAATAGGTTGCTAGCACTGGTTCTGCACTGCCTGCAACCAAACCCCATGCAATATTGGAACAATATCATATTCCAGGAGTCTTAAGGACTGATAGTTTTTCCTGTTTATAAAATAGCTGCAGATGTATTTTTCATGTGGAGAAGCTTCTCACCTTAATAAAATGTTATTAAATTAGTTATACAAATTACAGATTTAGTTTTTGAGCTATTTTATGGTACATACCTTACATATGTATATTTTACATATTATCTTACCAAAAAGAACTCATGATATGAAGAAATTGTTACTCTATTTTAGAGTAACATCCAGACTAAGTTAAAGCACTTCAGCTCTCTACATATACTGTTCTATATTTTTAAATCCACAAAATGGGAAAAAACCCACACATTTGGCTATTTGCAAGAGCATAGCAATAATGAAAATAGTACTAATTTACATTACCCGGAGGAAAAAAAAAAGAAAAAAACAACCCAAAATAAACCACCCAAGGAACTGTGTAAGTTTTAAATTTATAGTGAGAAAATTTAATTTGCTTCTGCACAGGAGGAAACTTGTAAAGAATAAAGGCACTGTAAGCTTCTTCTTACAAATCTCAAGTTGTGAATGAAGTGGATTATAAAAATCTTTCTATTCCATCTTGCACAGTAATTTATATGTAAAATTACTGGTGAAAGATACAGCAATCCGAGTGAACTAATCATGTCAAAGACATTGCATCCACACCTTATAATAAACTTGGGTCATAGAGATTCCTTGGTAATGACAAATCCATTTTTATTTCAGATGGGGTTCCTCTCAACTAAATTTAGCCAATTAAACTTAAGGGCAAAATCAAAGCTTTTTCTTATCTAATGGGAAGAATCACCTTTAGAAGATAACTCAGAGAATTCTAGGGGATGCATTTAAAATAGGGATGATGGTTCATTGCTTGTAGGTCTGACCCTCCTTGGTTATAGAAGTCATGGGCAGATAGCATATGTCAGAGGTGCAATCTGAACATCTTTAAATCCTTAATGAGGAATCCAGGTCAAAGTGTGAGGCTAAAGGATGGGGCAGCTGCCCGCTGGTGTTCTAGGTCTCCCCAGTTACCATGAAGGGGGCATGGAGTTGATGCCTTTTATTTAGAAAACATAAGGTTGTACAGAGGGAATCCTAGAGGAGGAGTAGAGTTAGATATTTAAAATAAAACCAATCTTATCACAAGCAAAACATAGCAGAATGCTGTTGTATTGTCTCCAGAGAGAGAATAAGTAAGAGTTTTAAGTGTCAGTACATATTATCTGATGTTAAAAAAAAAATATTATCTGTGGCTATCTTTACAAATATTTGTAAAAAAAACCAGTTTAACGGATAAATTTACCGTGTAAAAACATTATCAGTCTGACTATTAAAACAGAGCATGGGTGAATGATAATAGAATTGTCCTGTAAGTGACAGAATGTATAGATCCAGAGTAGAATATTTTTCTTGCATAGGAGTACAGGATATTGCTGGTGAGTTTGAGGACTGTGTACAGGATATGGCTACTGAGTACAGAATAGGGCAGCTGAGGCTACTGCCTGAAGGTCAGTCTCTGTAAGACAAGAATTTGCTTTACAGAAACAGGTTATTAATGAGTGTAATAGACTGTTAATTGAAACGCAACTAGTCTGCAAACATTAAAAAATAGAACTATTTTTAAACAACGTTATTCTGAGTTCTTAGAAATGACAGTTCCTGCTGTCATTTCCTCCCCCCATATAAGCATTCAGGGTAAAGGCAATTTTGTACTTGTAATGTATTAATGTCCATTTCTAGTTCCTAGAAATGACAGTTCCTGCTTTCATTTCCTTCCTCCCCCCATATAAGCATTAAGGGTAAAGGCAGCTTTGTGTTTTTAATGCATATTAACATTATAACAAAAAAATTATATTAATGAGGTATTAAGATCAGCGTTACTTACCTTAGTCATTTTACTCTAATAAAATGATTGAAAATAATAACCTCTACAACACACGTCCAAATCTGCGCCTGCGACACACAAAAACCTCTTCAAAATAAGATTATTAAGGCAACAAAGCTAGCCTCAAGAAATTAGAATATCTCAGGGTTGCCTATGTAAATTTACCAGGGCCTTTTGGACACAGACGTGTTTAACCCTGTTTTTGATGGCAGCTGGAGCCCTTTGTGTCCCTGTCAGGCAGCAGGGGCAGTGCTGGTGTGTTTGTGGTTGCTGTCTGTGCACACCAGCGCAGGGCACATGTCCTTGTCCCTTGGGTACCCCCCTGCCCCTGTTGGCACTGGTGCCAGCTGCAGAAGAGTGACTTGTGTTTCTCAGGCTGGCCCCTTAATTTGAGTTTACTTTGTGGACAGCTAGTAATCTGGCATTGGTAGTGCTGTTCCTGCTGGACATCTTCCAGCTGCTGTGATCAGGAGAGCGCACACTCGCCCTCCCCATGGTGGGAATAGGCTGCAGC